CCAGGCCAAGGTAAATAGGATCTAATGACTTGTCTGTTATTGGCCTCATTCTCATAAGTCTACATCTGAAGTTGTTACCACCTATAAAATGATTCACATTATACAAACACTATATATCATGTAAACAGAGCTTTTACTTCAGTTAAATCCAGCCAAAAATCAACATGACATCACTACAAAGGTTTATATCAACAAGTGTACAGTTTAAGTTTCGCTGAGCTTTCAGGCATTTAGTTATCCTCTGCTTGTATCTGCTGCCCCCTGCTGGATACAGCGGAGCGTTTAAGACCTGAAAAAGATCCAGAGATCTCGAACAGCGGACCTATTTTTTTTTCTTTTTTTCTTCTCCTTTTTCTTTTTTATCGTTCTTTTTTTTTTGGTAAAAAAAAAAAAAGACATTGCCGTGACGTAACCAGAATATACCAGTAATTTTCCAGCTGTTGTGCTAAACTTTGTTAAACGAAAATTAAAGTTAGATCCGTTTTGGTGTTAGTAAAAATGATGATGACGATAATAACGATAACAACAACAATAATAGCAGTGGTAGTAACAGGGCAAAGAGTGTTATGGGCACATGACAGGGCCTAAACCAGCTAGAGTACAGCAGGGGTGTCAAACATAGGGCTTTGGGCCAAAATTCCCCTGGCAAACACTCCAACCCAGACCACAGGACAGGTTTGGAAAATGTGAAGGTAGGAATAAACATGAACTTTTAACTTTACCCTCATAAGTTTTACAGCTTTTCCTACTGATGATGATTTTGGCCATGACCATTCATGTTACAAAATAAAAAGGAATGAGAGAATGAGATAGGCATGGAGAACACAACAGCAAGCATGTTTTGTTTGATTTTCCGGCAGTGTGTGGAATTACCAAAATTAAAGAGGGGATAGCCTAGGTCTAACCAGTGTTTTATGTATTGATATGTGTCGCTGAGGCTGGACACTCAAAATAAGAACCTGTCCAAGTCCTAATTAAACTTCTTAACAGGCTCTGAAATGTACTCAAATGTCACAGTCTGTAGATGTGACAAAGAAAACAGGTGAGCTGTTTATTGAAACGCTTGGAAAAAGTTCAGAAAACAAAATAAAGTCCAAATGGGAAAAATGAAATACTGTGTCCAACTAACTATCAGAATAAAGAAGTAAGTGAGAGGATTGATGAGTGATATTAGATTGACTGGATGCAACTTCAATAATAAATGATTGTTGTTGTTTTTTTTTTTACATGTTAATAGCATTTCACACTTTCACACTGGTCAGCAAACAAGTAACTTAGAAGAGCAACACATGTAGAGGTCCACACTGTGTTTACAAAAGTTAAACTTAACATGGACATATACCCTTAAAATGTCCACTTTAGCAACTGTCACTTGCCCAGTGATGCTTACCTTAGAAAATAATCTCTTCTTCCTTTTCTGTCTTCTCTTTTTTTCCACTGTAATCCACTGC